GGATACCCGGAAGAAGTTCCTGGCTCCTGGTGTAAGAGTTTAGAATAACCGCCTGATTCTGCTTCTGTATATTGCTTTCTGCTGAGCAAGAGTAGAGCCATGTTAGAACAAGTATAGAGAAGTCATTTCATGAAACAAGTAAAGTTTTAGTTTCCCAGAAATGAGTCAGACAATTACAGGAATAAAGAAGATAAAGAAGCAAGGCCAACGCAAGAATGTAATGGATAAGAAAGTGACAAGGAATACAGACTATCAACAATTGAGAAAATATACAAAGTTAAGGGACCCCCGGACTATCTAATCTGAAAGTGAGAAATGCTGACTGTTATGCAGAGTTTATGATTTTGCCCTATAAAAACTGTTCCAAAATGTTTGTGAGGCGCGCAGAGTCCTGGGTGCCTCCAGAGACTCTGTTGCCCATTCGCGAATGCTCAATAAAATCCTCATGCTTATTGCAGCCTCTGCGTTTGACTTGTTTTGCCAATGACAGTGTGGCTCCCCTCCACGGGGTTGGACTCTCCCCAGTCTAACACTGGCTTCGGATTGGCTCAGCTCCAGCCGTTGCAGTCACTTGGGGAGTGAATCATCGGACAGAAGATCTTTCTTTCTGTCTCTCCTACTCTCTGTATATCCGCCTTTCCAATAAAAAAAAAAAAAGAATATTCTGTGTAATGAGAAAAGGTATCTAAGAGAGATCCAATTTTCCTGCCACCATTTGTGGGAGGGACTGTTCTCCCACGACCTCCCTGCCCCCATTGTCTGGATAAAAGTCAGATGGCTATAAACATATGGCGTTTCAGATTCTCAATTCCAGCCTATGGAGTTCTGTGTTTATTTCCAAGTCAGCAGTCTTGATGGCATCAGCTTTGCAGTAACATCAGTAAATGGGAAGCAGGAGTCTGCAGATTTTATTCATAGACTATTTTTCACAGTGAGTTTGCAAAGAAATACTTAATAGATGACTATATGGATCAATGTTTTTTTAAAGATTTATTTGGGCCCTTTGCAGTGGCCTAGCGGCTAAAATCCATGCCTTGAATGCACCAGGATCCCATATAGGTGCAGGTTTTAATCCTGGCAGCTCCACTTCCCATCCAGCTCCCTGCTGTGGCCTGGGAAAGGACTTCCCAATGCCTTGGGACCCTGTGGGAGACCCGGAGGAGGTTCCTGGCTCCTGGCTCCTGGCTCCTGGCCAGCACAGCACAGCCGTACACTCACTTGGGGAGTGAATCATCGGTCGGAAGATCTTCCTCTCTGTCTCTCCTCTTCTCTGTATATCTGACTTTGCAATAAATAAAATAAAATAAATAAATAAATCTTTAGAGAAAAAGAAAAAAAAAACCCAATGGTCATTTTACAAAGATGCCACATTTCATAAGGAGGCCTGGTGCTGGGTTTCTCCCATCTAGGCCAGGGGATGGAATCTGTCTCTGAACAGGCTATAATTGGCCCCATGCTGGCAGCACAGCTGGTGATCAATCAGCACTCATTGATTACCGCCTGGTTCTTTTTGCTTTAAGAGGCTGCTCCTTTGCCATTCTTCCAAGGACAGTCACTGACATTTTGCATTTCTCTAGCAATTTTAGTTTAGGATCCTATTTCCCCTTAACTCCTACGAGGTTTCTGCACAGCATCAAAATATGCTGGACAGATGGTATTCCAGAATAGTATCACTAGGGTTTTTTTTTTTTTTTAATTTCAGCTTGATTGGATGTATTTAAAGATTATCAGGATTCAATTTTCTTACACAGTTTTTTTTTTTTTTTAACTAAAGCATCTATGGGCTTCCAATGTTTATAACATTTAGCTTACAGCGAAAACTCCCTTAGTAAGTCTATGTTAAGCTTTGGGACCCCTCTCACTGTTGAGGAGCAGGTAAGAGTCAATTCAATGGAAATTACCCAGAATCAAAGAATTCATTAGCTGCCTTTATAGCACCACAATCTTTCCAATCACACAGCAATTGCACGTATCCTTATTTTAATTAAGTAAGTATACATGACTATGTGACTTCATCCCCCTTTCCAATGTTTCTGGGTTTCATTTTCTTTCTTGCAATAGAAGCTGCTTAAGACCAAAGACCGAGGCTGGATTCTCTCCCACCGCTTTGGCATTGCATTATTTTCCAGCACTCTCACCTAGGAACTGCTTGGCTAAAGTCCTTGCAAAGATCTCAACTCTCTCACAACTAACTTTTGGAAGGTATCAGCTTACGCTACTCCGATGCAAATAAAGCAGCAGAGAACAGAGCAGCTCTAAGAACTTGCCTCTGAATGAAGCTCCGTGAAACCAGACACTTCCTTTATCCCGAACTTCAAACTTGGGGGGAGGAGGCGGAGGGCAGGCATAAACCACGGAGCGCAGAGGGCACCTACCTCACACATTTCCTGAGACACCAGCTTACACTTGCTGCCGTACAGCTACATCTGAGAAGAGCTGCTTTCCAGGTAGGCTGGAGCAATCAGATTCTTCAGCCTCTCTTCCCCACGCCAGCCTTTAGAGCCCCGGGGCACAAGAGAACTCCCGCAGTGGATGCGCAGTGTTACCTAGTAACCCCCCGAGGATGCCACAGTACGGAATCAACCTCTATTCCTTACAGACACAAGCACCCAGATCTTCACAGGAAGGAAGTCACTGGGCGATGCATTAGGCAGTAGTCAGTCACACCCTAGGTGAGCATGATGGAAATGAATGCAATCCACAAAACAGTGGTAGAGAACCCAGCAAAGGTTTGCAGTGTCAAACAGCTTCTATTGTGTAAAAACGATTACGTATGCATATCCGATGCATGTCAATTATAGCCCATCTCCCACATTCTTACATCAATTAAAACACATTTTTTTCTGCTTCAGGATTTAATCTTTAGTTTGTTTTTTTTTTTTTTAAAGATTTGTTTTTAATGGAAAGGCAGATTTACAGAGAGAAAGAGAAACAGACAGATCTTCTGTCTCCTGGTTCACTTCCCAAGTGGCTGCAACAGCAGAATTGAGCCGAAGTGGTCAGAAGCCAGGAGCCAGGAGCTTCTTCCAGTCTCCCCCACATGGGTGCAGGGTCTCAAGGCTTGGGGCTGTTCTCCTCTGCTTTCCCAGGCCACAGCAGGAAGCTGGATGGGAAGTGGAACAGTTGGGACACAAATCCCATATGGGATCCTGGTTCATTTTTAAAAGGTTATTTATTTATTTTTATTATTTATTTATTTTTATTGCAAAGTCAGACACACAAAGAGGAGAAGAGACAGAGAGGAAGATCTTCCATCTGATGCTTCACTCCCCAAGTGGCAACTACAGTGGAAGTTGAGCTGATCCACAGCCAGGAGCCAGAAGCTTCTTCATGGTCTCCCATGTAGGTGCAGGGTCCCAAGGCTTTGGGCCGTCCTCCACTGCTTCCTCAGGCCACAAGCAGGGAGTTGGATGGGAAACAAGACTTCTGGGATCAGAAATGGCGCCCATATGGTATAGTATCCTGGTGCATGCAAGGCAAGGACTTTAGCTGCTAGGCTATCTCTTTTGGCCCGCATTTTTTTTTTCTTATCTCTCTTTTAGGCTCCTATTTATGGCAGCCTTGCACACAAGGGGTCCTTGATAAATAGCAGCTGAGGGTTAAGTCAGCTTCACAAACAGGAGCTACTCAGAGGCTAAAGACAGAGGTGAAGATGAAATGTGAGTAGCTACCCAGTAGACCAAGGACACCAGCAAAGGCCCATCCGTCCACCAGTCAGCCAATCACCAGAATGGGACAGGATGCATTATGATAATGGGTAGCCAGGTGGCTAGTGAACGAGGGCCTGAGAGGGCCAGCAGCCTCTCTGTCATAGCCCATGCTCATCATGGCATCTTCATAGAGAGGATCATGACCAGGCTCCTGCCCCACCCCAAAAGGGACCAGAAAGCACATCGCCTGACTCCACCAGTTAGGGGACCCACCGCCCTCACCCTGTGAAAGCAGAAACCCAACTCAAGTGGGAGCAGCAGAGCATCGCCTGCACTCGATAGTGAGTGTGCATCACCCCTTTCAAGACATCCTGCAAGTCTGCGGTGTAGGACAAAGGATTGCTTTGTCTTCAGCCCAGTTTCTCAGCTGTGGCGGGCATTTGGGGAATGAGCCAGCAGATGGGAAAGTGTGTCTCTGCATTTCAAATAGGTCAAACTAACATTTAAAATGTGTTTTTCAAAGCCTAGGCTCAAGTTTCAGAAACTTTGGGAATTCGTTTTTGCCCTTCCACCAGAATACGTAGCGTCTGATAAGGTGGCAAGGTTCAGAACACAGCCAAGCCGGCACCTTCTCTGGACCAGCTCTTGCCCAGACTTGCTTAGCAGGTTACAGCCACGTGAGGCTTGCTACACGGGTCCCAGGCGGCAGAAACAGCTGGATTCGGCTGAGCAAGGGCAGCAAAATCCTGAGCCTGTCTAAACTCAAGCGACCCGGCCGAAAAGACAAACAGGGACCCAGAGCAGGTGCCGCGGCCCGAGCCCCACCGCGCCAGGCTGCAGGCAGTCAGCTCAGGTGCCCTTTCAGGGCGGTGCGCGCGACACTGCGCATGCGCGGGGCCTCTCGGCGCTCCCCTCCCCACCCGAGCGCCGCGAGCTCGCGCGTCCTGCGCGCCCCGCCCCGTCGTGACGTCGCCCGGGAAGGGGCGTGGCGAGCCGGTTGAATGGCGCGCCGCGACGAGCCGCGCGTTCCTCGGCGGCTCACGTGACGCGGCCGCGCGGCCTGAGGTAAACAATCGCGGCCGCGCGCCACCGCCTCCCCCCCCCCCGCGCGCGTTCCCGCCTCCCAGCCCGGGGCCGCGCGGCGCGCGCGGTTGCGCAGCGGGAATTTGGAGCGGGGCCCCGCTGGCGCGCGCGCGCGCGCTATTTGCGGCCGGCTGACGCGCGCAGCGGCGGCGGCCGCCCGTGGGAGAGTCATTTCTATTCCGGGGGCCGCGGTCAGCGCGCTCCGCTGGCTCCCCGGGCCGCCCGCCCCCGGGCCGCGCCTATAAGGGCCGCGCGGCCGGCCGGGCCATGCAGCTCTACAGCAGCGTCTGCACCCACTTCCCCGCCGGGGGTCCGGGCCCCACGGCCGCAGCCACCGCCACCGCGCCCTCCGCAGCCACCGCCGCCGCCTTCAAGGTCTCCCTGCAGCCGTCCGGGCCCGCCAGCGCAGCCCCGGAACCCGAGACCGGAGAGGACCGACCCGGAGCGCCCGCCGAGCCCCGGGAAGCCGCCGCCACCGCCGCGATGCCTGCTTACTCCTCGTGCTTCGAGGTGGTGCCCGGCACCGCCACCGCCGCCGCCGCCCCGGCTGCCCCGGCCGCGTCCTCCTCCTGCAAGCCGCCGCGGCCACCGCCGCACTACACGTCCACGGCGCAGATCACCGTGCGCGCCCTGGGCGCAGACCGCCTCCTGCTGCACGGGCCCGAGCCGGCACCCCCGGCCACCCCGCGTGCCCGCTGCCTGCTGCTGACCCCCTCGCCGCCACCACCACCACCACCGCCACCCGCCGCCGCCGTGCCCAGCCCACCGCGCCGCGGCTCCTCGGCCTGGCTGCTGGACGAGCTGCTGCGGCCCGAGCCCGACGGCCCGGACAGGAACTTCCGACGGAGCGAGCACCAGCAGGCCCTGGCCGCCGCCGCCGCCTCCAAGCCCCGGGGCCCCGCGCCGCTGTCCCTGGGCAGCTCCGAGTCCGGCTCCGGTGTCTGGAGCAGCGGCCAGGAGCCACGGGCTCCCGGGGAGCAGCCCTCGAGCCCAGACGCAGTGGATCCGGAGCCCCATGCGGCCCATGCTACTACGGCTGCTGCGGGCAGCGAAGAGGCCGAGACGCTGGTGGTGGTGTCCAGGGCGGACCCCCGAGACGAGAAGCTGGCCCTGTACCTGGCGGAGGTGGAGAAGCAGGACAAGTACCTGCGGCAGAGGAACAAGTTCCGCTTCCACATCATCCCCGACGGAAACTGCCTGTACCGTGCGGTGAGCAAGGCCGTGTACGGCGACCAGGGCCTGCACCGCGAGCTGCGCGAGCAGACGGTGCACTACATCGCCGACCACCTGGACCACTTCGGACCGCTCATCGAGGGCGACGTGGGCGAGTTCATCGTGGCCGCGGCGCAGGACGGCGCGTGGGCCGGCTACCCGGAGCTGCTGGCCATGGGCCGCATGCTCAACGTCAACATCCACCTGACGACGGGGGGCCGGTGGGAGAGCCCCACGGTGTCCACCATGATCCACTACCTGGGGCCCGAGGACGCCCTGCGGCCCAGCATCTGGCTCAGCTGGCTCAGCAACGGACACTACGACGCCGTCTTCGACCACTGCTACCCCAACCCGGAGTACGAGCACTGGTGCCGGCAGACTCAGGTGCAGCGGAAACGCGACGAAGAACTGGCCAAGTCCATGGCCGTGTCCCTATCCAAAATGTATATTAAACAAAACGCATGCTCTTGAAGTGTCTGCGGCCGCTTGACACGCCCAGGGAGAGGGGCCGGCTGGGGACTCTGATCAGGGTAATGGCACTTTAAAAATTTTTTTTTGTTTTTCCTAAGTAGATTCCCCGTAGGTGTCCTGCCTTAATTTTTTTCCCCCTTTTTTTGAATGTCTGTTCTTCCACGCGGGAAGGTCGCGGAGCACAAGAAGTGTTCCGGCTTTGGCGATCCGACTGCTGTTTATAATGTGCCGTTTGTTGTAAAGCACTCCCTTGCATTTGCAAGCTGATTGATCCTAGTGTAAATTTTGTTCATTCCTGGTGGTCTATTTTATATATATATATAATTGTATTTTTGCACAGAATTTTTAAAATACAACTGACGCAGCCGCGTCTGAGATGTGCTCCGTTTTGGATAGAATGCTTTCCAAAGGAAGAAGAAATACTTTCTATGAAGTTTATTCTCCGGGACAGACTTTGGCGTTGGTTGGAACGTCACGATTCTGTGTGACGTTTCTCCGTGTATCCGTGTGGTGAGCGAGGATCGGCCCATTCCACGATGAGGAAACAGATGTGTTGTTCGTGGCAATCATTATTTTTCTAGAACTGGTCAATCTTTTTTTAAGAGAGAGAAGTACTTGGGGTCGAGGGGAGGGGGTGGGGAGATTGGCTTTTCTACCGGGTGTTACTTGAAAGTTTGATGTTTGCTCTGAGTACCTCGGCATGGATTCTGTCCTGTGGCTGTTTTTGGAGCGCGTTGTCTGATCGGTTGCTTTATTTACAATCGTGGTCATTTTGTTACCCAAGGAATTTCACTCCTGGATTATTGTGACCGGATAAACCTTCCTGCTTTATCGCTTCTGTCTTAAGAGAGAGATGGGAAGGAAAATGAGAGTTTGGAAAGCATATAGCTGGAACCAACTGTGGCAGGAATTTACTTTTCAAGCGGGAAAATGCTGTCCGTCTTCATGTTGCGTGTTCAAAAAGCAAAATAGGATTTCCCTGCGTTTTATAGAAAAAGATTGTCAACAGAGCTTGTGCGGTTTGCTGGGTCAAACAGTATTTCCCACCTACAAATCTATCTTGTTGCCACTTTAACTATTTTTAGTCATATTTATTAAGTACTGCAGTTTGTACTTTTTTTTATTTTGTAACATTTTGTGACTTTCTTTTGTACCACACTGTATATTTGTACGATAGAGCAGTTGTCAGCCGATGGAATGAATAAAATGGCATAATTTTACGACAGCTTTGTGGATAGTGTTCTTTAAATGACCTTGCCTCTTGGAATGGTTCATGGAGAACCATAGTCGTTTTTAATATGAAAAACATGCTACAGAATCGAGAGAGTTCATGAAATCTCATACGAACAGAATGGTATAAAAATAACTAATTGCAAAGTCTCAGTGAAATATAATTGAATGAAAGGTGGAGGAACCCGAGAACTTGCTCTTCTAAGTGTAATGCCTGCCTGCTAGGTCACAGCTGTGGACCTTTTGGCTGATGACCAGGGAAGCACAGGATTTGTATTAACCAGCAAAGGTCTAATTAAGTCTCATACACTTATGTGCCTGTTGCTACCAGGGTAGATTTTTGTTGTTGTTTAATGTTTTAAAGAGCAGTTGAAGTGCCTTCATTAAAAAAAAAAAAAAATTAGTCTGCACCCTAGACAAAATGGGAATCTCTCAAGTCCTGTTACCAGATGTGGTTGGAAAGTGCAAACAGTGGTTTAGTAAAGTTGCTCCAAACATTCTGCTTTTGACACGTTGACTAACCCGGCGGAGCTGGCCAAGGAGAGACCACGGGTGGGTGAGCGAGTGGTGAGCGCTCAGGCCTGGAAAGGGGCAGTGATGCAGGAAGTGGCTCTATGCCCTCCTGGCATTCCTGCTTGTGGGCACTGGAATGCAAACAACCCGCTAGGAACGGGCCTTGCTCCAGGATTTCCCCGGCCAAAAGGGTTAAGACATCGGTTTCTTGACCGTCAGGTCTTAGAGCATCACCGATGGGCCCAGGCCCTGCGCCAGTGTGTGCTTCATGGCACGCGTGTGTAGAAACCATTCCATAAGGTTTTTCAATTTTCCATCTAGCTGTGTTCAGTTTGGGAAGAAGGAAATCCTTACTTTAGGAATACCTGGCTAATCTTTTCTCATTTGGAGCTGTGGCTAATCTGGAATTAACAAGAATGCATAGTCTGAATTTACACGAGAATGGGCATGGTCAAACAGGTGGAAGTTTCTGAGGGAAACATCTGCCAGCCTGTTGCCCTTTCAAATGGATTCCTTTGTGGTTTATTTCATTTTCAAATCCACATCCTAAATGCTTGAGTTGGTGTGCCTTTCTTTAAGCTTTTTACTCTAGGTCGGCTGTGAGGGGGGGAGACCAAGTCCTTCAAAGTTCACTTGTTGGGGGTTAGGCCGGACAAGAAGCCTGGAGCTCTCTGAACTCCCGTGTATTCTCCAGCCCCTGCTGCTTCCCAACGTGAGTATTTGCTAGGAACTGAGCCGCATACTGGGATGCCAAACATGTAACCACTGTGTGCCGCCGGCCCTTCAGTCGCTGTTTTTCAGTACTACAAAGACATAGCACGTGGCAGCCTATTAAGTTAGTTGCCTGGCATCAAAGATTTGTTTACTTTCTTCCCTCTATGGAGTTTGTTTTTAGAGAAAAAGTACTGTCTGCTGCTGCTGTGCTAGCAGGAGCCGGCCTTCAGCAGTTGAGGAGCTGCAAGTATGTGAACAAGGCTTGTTTTCCTTGAGCAAATAGACTTATTTACAGAGCAACCAAGACTTCACCCTGTGCAGTGGAGACCGCAGCTGTCGAGTTCCCTGAAGTATTTTGGAGTTGACTTCATTACCCAGAAGGTATGATTGCGGAAGGTGAAATCTAGACGGGAACCCAAATAGGGTGTTTTCAAGTCAATTGATGACATTTATTCTGTTAATTTTGGGATATTTATTAAAGGGTACATAAAGAATTAAAATGAATGGGATTTCTTTCCCCTTTGAATACAATTTTAATTAAAAAAATGTGAAGAGTTAGACTTGGTAGTAGGCAGTTAGGGTATTCTGGGTCCCCGAGCCATTGTCTTAAAGATAAAATGTTTTCCCCACCACGTCTTAGATTTACCAGAGCACATCTCTTCCAAGGGACAAGGGCGATATTAGCATATCAATTCCCCACCTGAAGTATCAGCCATTATCTCCGGCCATTGTGTGGGAGGGCCTCAGGCTGGTCTCCTTAACATTGAGCATGTGTGACACCTGTCTGGCCTTTTGTCCCAAAGCCGGATACCAGGGGAACCGGGAATTTCCTTTTGTCCTTGGAAAGCCCCTTTGAAGTAAACCTTTAAAAGGTGCTTTCCCACCATTACTATGGGTCTTTATTCCACTTTTCATCCCACCACTATGGCAGGGGGTAAGGGTCCTTTCTATCTCAGAGTCCCCTCCTGTCACTATGACGGCAGTCTCCTTTCTCAGTTTTTCTAATAAATCTTCCTTTAAAAAGTAACCTGTCCGCACGAAAATTCTTTCCTGCAAGACAAGAATTAAGGTTGCTGCTGTATTCGGATTCAAAAAGAGCACAAGAACTCAGCACGTTTTATTGGAAAGGTAGATTTACAGAAAGTAGAGACCAAGAGAAAGGTCTGTAATCTATTGTTTTCACTCCCCAAATGGCCACAGTGGCTGGAGCTGGAACTGATCCATAGCCAGGAGCCTCTTCCGGGTCTCCCACATGGGTGCAGAGTCCCAAGGACCTGGGCCATTCTCCACTGCTTTCCCAGGCCAGAGGCAGGGAGCTGGGACATGAAGCAGTGCCCATAGGGATAGATACATTGATGGAGCTTTGGGTTCTTGGCTTCAGCCTGGTCCAACCCCTGGCTGTTACACACATTTGGGGCATGAACCAGCAGATAGAAGAGTTCTTTTTTGTTCTGGCCAGCAGAGCCAGTATCGTGGACATATTGAGGACCTGGGGGGGGGGGGGGATGAGGCAGGGACAGGAGGCCAGTGATGGTGGAAGTCTCTCGGAAAGTCTCCTTTATTTGCCCTTTCACCTCTACTTGTTCACTCTTCCCCCACACCCTCATTAGCGCATATTGGATATAGCTGAGTCCAATTAGACCAGGTGCTTCTAACCCTAAGCCCACTCCCTGTAGTTCTCGGCTTAACCAGTGCTAGTCAACTCCTAGGCTCACAACACTTTTTCTTTACAAAAAAGTTTCTGTAAGATAAAACTTACTTATTTCAGCATATTTGAGTCTTAAACTGTGATTGGCAAGCAGTGTAAAGAGATGTGTGAGGCTTTAATTACATTTTTCTAAACTTACCAGTTTGGATGCCAGGATTTGCATAAGGTAAAAGCCTTTTCTGATAAGACTGATTTATTTGCAAGGTGGAGTGACAGAGGGGGCAGCAGAATGAGACAGAGAAAGATCTTCCACCTGCTGATTTACCTCCCAAACACCCATGGCATCCAGGGCTGAGCCAAGCTGCAGCCAGGACCACAGGAACTGCGTCCAGGTCTCCCACTCGGGTGATAGTCAGATGGCATCACACTGCCATCCCATTGGCTGTGCTTTAGCTCCAAGTAGAAGGGCCTGAATTCAGTCCCGGGCACTGTGTCCCTATGGGATCCATGCATCCCGAGAGGGCATCCACCTGCTGCCCTGAGAATGCAGAGGGTAAGAGGTGCCTGAGTAGGCTGGCTATCAGATCTGGTTATCTTCCGGTTAAATAAATATTCATACGTGGAAATATTTTGTTGTAATTTCTATACTGGAAAAAAAAAGGCATTTCTTAAGAGAATCTCATTACTTGAGTTTATTTTATGTGTGTGTTTTTCCTCATTTCCCTCAAGGATTAAGAAGTTTAACTCCCTCAATTTCACCCTGAAATCCAGTGTGCGTGGGCTGGAGGAAAGGCCTTGTTACAGGAGAAGCAGATGTAAGCCTTAGGACATCAGAGCGTTTGATCTTGCAGGTGGCTGTGGCCTGGAGGCCTCCCCTGAGTTAGTGGGTGGGAGAAGTGGTGTTAGGAGGTGTTCCCTTTTAAGAGGTGATTAATTTGTGCATGGATTCCTAGTTATCACCAGGGAGTGGGGAAAGGGCTGTGTGTGGGGGGGAGGGGGGAGCAAAGTGTCCATGAGGCCCTGGCGGTGGGAGGGTACAACAGGAGGACCCATCTCAGATGCCACTGCTGGGCCCTTGGCCTTCCCACAGTGGAATGCAAGCCACATAGCTCTCTGTGAATTCTGTGACAAATTGTTAGAGCAGCAGACCAGGGTCTGAGAGGGGATAAATCCACTGAGTTTGGTGACATGTTCACATTTAGCAGTTATTTGTCCAATGCAGTTTTATTTTTCGGGGGGGGAGGATGGACAATTCTAGCTTGTTCCCGGGGTGGGGGGGTTGGGGAATTGTCCAGCTCCACAGGCCACAGCCACAGTCATGGTTGTTAGCCCAGAGGGCCCTGTGGGGTGAGGAGATGGAAGGTGAGAGGAGGCAGGCAGAAAGCCCCTAGGTGGCACCAAAAGTTCCTGCCGAGTACCCAGTGCGTTGGCCTAGTGGCTAAAGTCCTACCTTGAAAGCACCTGGATTCCATACGGGCACAGGTTCTAATTCCAGCAGCCCTGCTTCCCATCCAACTCCCTGCTTGTGTCCTAGGAAAGCAGTAGAGGATAGCCCAAAGCCTTGGGACCCTGCACCTGTGTGGAGACCCGGAGGAAGCTCCTGACTAATGGGCTCAGATCCATGCAGTTTCAGTCATTGCAGCCACATGGGGAGGGAATCAATGGATGGAAGATCTTCCCTCTGCCCCTCATCCTTTCTGTATATCTGACTTTCTAATAAAAATAAAATAAATCTTTCAGGCTCGGTGGCGTGGCCTAGCAGCTAAAGTCCTCTCCTTGAACAAGCCCCGGGATCCCATATGGGCGCCGGTTCTAATCCCGGCAGCTCCACTTCCCATCCAGCTCCCTGCTTGTGGCCTGGGAAAGCAGTCGAGGACGGCCCAAAG